CCCTCCTCCTCACTCTGTGAGGTTGGCACTCTTTCCCTTTACCTGTAAAGAAATGAAGATGAAGGAGTTAACGCCCCAGCCCAAGAGCCAGTAGAAACTCAAACTCAAGTCTTTTTGCCTGAACACTTTACACTACTTCCAAACTACATGGGTCTACTGGCTTTTACTACTGGAGAAGGAGACAAAAGTGGGGGAAGAAAAAGAAAACAAAAACAGAACAAAACAAAAAGAGAGACATGGAAGCACTAACCTTGAGTTTCTATGAAATCAATAAAGAACCACTTTTTTTTTTAGACTTATAAGAAACATTTTTAATATCAACTTTAAGTTAGAGAGATGCACAATTTTTGTGTTTTTTAAAAATTTATCAGAACGGGAAAGAGAAAAAATTTGAAAATCACTGTTATACAGCAAGCATTAATTTCCAATAAAATTTTACATATTTTCTTAGTAATTCATGTAAAATTTTTATCCTAATTATAATGAATCAAAAACATTGCATCTTAAATCATTCCATATACAAGATGAACCGCCTTATTGTCTCATGGGTGAGTTGCTACTGCATTATCTCTTCAGAACTGGAAACCTGGGTTGAGCTGAAGCTACCTACAGCCAGGTTCCTTCTTTTCCCTGTCTGCATATCACATAAATGTATGGATAGAAATGGCAATGGTGATTTTGTTAGTATTGTTTGTTTTTCCTAATTGCTCTCTGTGCTTAGGAGATAACCACTGAGAAGAAATGTCCAGAATTCTGTCATGGATTTGGTACAGATTTTTCCAACTACAGTTGGAGAAATTTTCCATGAATTCATCTTGTATACCTTATGGTAGACTGAAAGGACCTCTCTTCCATTGGCAGTGAGGTTTAAATAATTTAATGTATGTAACAGCACATCTCAACTCCAATCTACTTTCCTCACACATCTCCATTTCTTGCCTGTTGTTCAAACTTTTGCTGCATTTTGCTGTTCAGCCAAAAGCTTCTGTGACTTCAAATCTGGTGACCTCTCTATGTTGTCTTATAATAAAACCCTACATTCAGACTTTAAGCTTCAACTTCTATATTAATTGAATACAGCTATTGCTACAATAATGCTACATAACAAATCACTCATAAACTTAGTGGCATAGGGGCTTCCCTGGTGGCGCAGTCGTTAAGAATCCACCTGCCAATGCAGGGGACACGGGTTCGTGCCCTGTTTTGGGAATATCCTACATGCCGCGGAGCAATTAAGCCCCCGCGCCACAACTACTGAGCTTGCGCTCCAGAGCCCGTGTGCCACAGCTACTGAAGCCCGCATGCCTAGAGCCTGTGCTCCGCAACTAGAAGCCACCACAATGAGAAGCCCGCGCACCGCAACGAAGAGTAGCCCCCGCTCAACGCAACTAGAGAAAGCCCACACACAGCAACAAAGACCCAATGCAGCCAAAAATAATAATAAATAAATTAAAAAAAAAAAAAAAAGTAAACGTTATAAAAAAAAAACAGTGGCATAAAGCATTAACTCACTTGTCTGTGGGGTCCCTGGATACTTCTGATTCTGGTTATAGGTGTGAAGATCAACTAGGGCAACTGTATTTCATATATCTTATTCTGGACCCCAGTTTACAGGGGGTGAGGCTGCCTTGAAGCTACCAGGAAAATACTATCTAGAGCATTTTGTTCTCATGTTGGAGGCTGGAAGCTCATAGGAATTTTAGGATTTAGAAACTTATCTCTCAAGAAAATGTGGCCTTCCTACCATATATACAATATTTCTCTTATTTAAAAAAATTATATATATAATTTTTATTTTATATTGGAGTATAGTTGATTAACAATGTTGTGTTAGTTTCAGGTGTACAGCAAAGTGATCCAGTTATACACATATATGTATCAATTCTTTTTCAAATTCTTTTCCCATTAAGGTTATTACAGAATATTGAACAGAGTTTCCTGTGCTATACAGTAGGTCCTTGTTGGTTACCTATTTTAAATATAGCAGTGTGGGGGACTTCCCTGGTGGTCCAGTGGTTAAGAATCCGCCTTCCAATGCAGGGGACGTGGGTTCGATCCCTGGTTGGGGAACTAAGATCCCACATGCTATTGGGCAAATAAGCCCGGGTGCCTGCACTCTGGAGCCTTCAGGCCACAACTAGAGAAGCCCGCACGCTGCAAGGAAGACACACGCAGCCAAAATAAATAAATAAAAATAAATAAATATAGCATTGTGTACATGTCAATCCCAAACTACCAATCTATCCCTCTCCCCCCAACCCCTTCCCCTCTTGTAACCATAATCTCATTCTCTAAGTCTGTGAGTCTGTTTCTGTTTTGTAAATAAGAACCACTTTCTTGATGCCTGATTCCAGCTGTCCTCAATTCTTTTCCAGGCTCCTTGACCTTTATTTGATATTGACATACATTTTGGAAGTTAGTAAACGGTGATAAAATATTCCACAAACATGAAGTGATTGTTTAGTTTTCAGCCTGTTCAGTGAAATGAAGTATCAGCTGATTTGGCACCCAACCCAGCATGTGATTGTGTTGCTTCCTTCATGAGTTTTTTTCAGACGTATTTTTTCTCTTGACTAGATTGTACGATTGTAACTATCAAAGTTAATAAACTGTTCCAATTTACCAATTTCTTGTTTGTTACCTATTTTTCCATACATTTTTTTTTTTTTTTGGTGGTACGCGGGCCTCTCACTGTTGTGGCCTCTCCCATTGTGGAGCACAGGCTCCGGACGCGCAGGCCCAGCGGCCATGGCTCACGGGCCCAGCCGCTCCACGGCACGTGGGATCCTCCCAGACCGGGGCACGAACCCGTGTCCCCTGCATCGGCAGGCGGACTCTCTACCACTGCGCCACCAGGGAAGCCCTATTTTTCCATACTTTGAAGCTTAATTCACCAGACAACATTCCATAACCTGCCAGAAATGGGATGATAACTGCTCCCAATAAGTAATTATTTAAAACCTCTCCACCCCACTTACTCATGTAAACTTGTTAAGACACCACTATGTAAGAGGGGATGATTATCTGAATTCATCCCCTACGGACACCAAACTTGGGAGTCAGGTGGTGGTAGTCATTCATTCCAGATACCTATCTGTTGTGGGAATGAATTTCGGTTCACAAACAGCTGTGCAGGAAATATCACATTTCTCCATTTTCCCTAAGTCAACTGAAATCTGACTCTGAGCCCCCATCCTGCAGAACAGGCAGAGAATTCACTCACTGTCTTGACTGGCTCTTGCCACAGAACTGTGCTGAGATTCTGGGGAGATACGGACCACTCTGGTCACTGACCAACGGCTCACCCTGGCTTCTGCTGCCAGGCCTGTGTCTCATCAGCATGGCCTGAGGGCTTAGCTGCTTCTGGACCATGCCTGGGGAAGGAGAATCCTGGGAGAGCCACGGTCTGTCCTTAGGAGCACTATAGGCCTTCCTCTCGGAGGCCCTGCCTCATCCTGTGGCTCTGCTGTTAAGTGATGCAGCTGGCCCCTGGTGCTCCAGAGAATCCGCTGACTTCTGTCCCCTGTCCAGTCTCCCAGAATCTCGGCTCTCTCTCTTTTCTGATTTTAAAAATGCTTTCCTCTCTCCTCTTCCCCTCTTGGACACCCATGATTATGTCATTTATGGACTTAGGTTTCTCAAAAGATCAGAAGAGCCTCTGATTTCATATGTACATGCTTTCAGTTCTGTCAAAATTCCTAAGGTGAGAAATTACAAAGGACCTTCCTTCTTGCTTGAGACGGAAAGAAGAGAAAAAACAGGAAGACTGGGTAAATTAGAATTTAAAAAAATTATCCTGGCACAGGTCTATACCAGTCCCTCAAAGACGTTTTTATCTTGGGATTTTTGTGAAGACAATAAAGGCATTTATGTTTGATTAAAATCTACTTTGGGGACTTCCCTGGTGACCCCGTGGTTAAGAATCCAATTGCTAATGCAGGGGACATGGGTTCAGTCCCTGGTCCAGGAAGACCCCACATGCCTCAGGGCAACTAAGCATGTGCACCACAACTACTGAGCCTGTGCTCTAGAGTCCGCGTCCCACAACTACTGAGCCCACACACCTAGAGCCGGTGCTCCACAACAAGAGAAGCCACCGCAATGAGAAGCTCGCACACTGCAATGAAGAGTAGCCCCCACTCGCAGCAACTAGAGAAAGGCTGCACCCAGCAACGAAGACCCAGCGCAGCCAAAAAAAAAAAAAAAAAATCTACTTTGGGATGAAAACTCTATACGCTTTACTATAAACTACACTAAAGATAACTACATGATTCTGATATAAATTTCCAGTGCCTGCCTCCTGGAACTGGGAAGAACTTGTAGCCCAGGTTTAGGTCTGATCTGTGTTCCTTTGTGGCATTTCCTCTCCTACTTTGGTTCACGGGGGCATTTCAAACTTCATACTTTACAAAGAGACATTCTCTACTAGCTGTCTAAGGGGAACACAGATTCCCAAACCATTTTCCCTGTAATATCATTCAACATTCCTCCTGTTCTACATATGCATCATGTATGATAATATTATCATCCTGTTTTTGATTCATGAATTTAACATTTTATCTTTTTTCTTTGAAGGTACTAATCATAGTTTTTTGCAATTTATTTGTGCCCTGCAGGATTCTCTAGCACATATATATATATGTTTTATATATATATATGTATTTCCAAATTGATAATCATATTTTTAGGTTTGTGTATCTTAAGTTTGTATTTCAGGTATATTAAATAAAGATCCACATATAGATTGATTTTAAGGCATTTAACTAGATAACTTGAAGGTGAAAATCATTTTAAAAGGAGATAATATGCTGTTTTCCCAGAGTGAACTTATTAGTTCACTAATAAAAACCAGTTTATGCAAATGATGTGCTCCTGAGATGTGTGATGCACAATTTTATAAATTATGTCATATTTTTAAAGTATTAAGATATGTTGATAAAATTCTTCTAGGAAACCCTTTTTGAAAGTGGAGAGTTGATCGATAATTTATCTCTTTTCAGCATGATGAGGTGGTGAATAACAGAGGCTCAGAAATTGGACTCTACGGTTTTGAATCCTGCCTTCACAACTTCTGTGTGATGTTGAACAAATTACTTAACCTCTCAGACTCTCCATAAAATGAGGATAATAATATCTACTTCACAGGGTTGTTGCAGGGACAGAATGAAAAAAATACATGTAAATCACTTAGAACGATGCCTGACACATACTTAGTAAATGCTAGCTACTATTTATATTTTAACAATAGAATGAGGCACCACTGTAAACTATCATGGTATGTAATCCATCCCACCAATTATTTATGGATAACTGTTACTTATTCTTTTGTTAAAAAGTATTGCATATGATGTCTATGACATATTTGCTTCTTATAATAATGAAACTTCAGAAAATTCACTGTGTGTTATCAAATGTGATTGTCTCGAACAATTACTGAGTATGATCTCAATCATCAGAGTGAAAAAACGTTACCGTGGAATCACACGGGACTCTGAGACTCTCTGATACACATGCACCCCTTACAACACCTACACAGTGACATACATGCAAAAGGTACTGCTTGCCTCAATGTTTGCATGCAAGAACAAACAAGAAATGTGTGTCTCTGAAATAAAATGTTAACTTTTCATGCCAATATAGGTATTTATTGTTTGTGGGAACATCATTTAATAGATAGGTATTAACACTTTTACAATTGGTTACTTAGGATACTGTATTTTAACTCAGCATCAGTCAGTTTTTCTGAAATGTGATATATTTTCTTCCTCCTTTAATATTTGTACTAATAACAATGGTACCTAACATTCATTGACCAATTACTACATGCCTGTGCTTTCTTTGTATTAACTTGGAACAGCCTGATGAGCTGGATACTCATTATTTCCATTTTATAGGTAAGGCACAGCAGTTTGAATAGCTTGACTAAGTTAATAGCTAGTGCGTGGTGGAGCCTAGATTTGGACCAGTAATCTCTAGCATCAACTCAGTTTAACCATTGTACCATACTATACACTAAGTTATATATTAGTGTGTTAAATGCATAATGTTCTACAAAATGCCTGACAGGGGTTTGCATTTGCCATTGGTTGATTTTAAATCAAGTGAAAATTAGAAGTGTGACTCTGAGACTATGTTAAAGTGAACTTTATAACATTTAAAAAATAAATTTACTTATTTTATTTTTATTTTTGGCTGCGTTGGGTCTTCATTGCTGCGCGTGGGCTTTCTCTAGTTGTGGCGAGTGAGGACTACTCTTCGTTGCAGTGAGCTTCTCACTGCGGTGGCTTCTCTGGTTGCGGAGCACGGGCTCTAGGCACATGGGCTTCAGTAGTTGTGGCTCACAGACTCTAGAGCACAGGCTCAGTAGTTGTGGTGCATGGGCTTAGTTGCTCTGCGGCACGTGGGATCTTCCCGGACCAGGGCTCGAACTCACGTCCCCTGCACTGGCAGGCAGATTCTTAACCACTGCACCACAAGGGAAGCCCCTATAACATTTTTGTAAAATATTTTATATAGAAGTATACCTTATCCAGTTAACATAGATTTTGTTTTTTTAAGCTCTAAGTTGGTTCTTTAAAGTGAATTTTTTAAAAGCCCTTTTTTAAAGAAAAGAAAACAGGTATAATGAAGCTCACTTTGACAAGAAATATGTTGACTGAGACTGTGAAAATAATAAAAATGGTACCTTACATTTGTCTAATGTTTTATTTTTTAAAATGTTTATAGGTGTTGAATTCGCTATTACAGGAGGAGCAATTCTTTACTTTGCAAAAAAGATCCAGCATTTTCTGAGAATTACATTATCACATTCACTTGACTAATGAACTCCTTAAAGCTTTATAAATATTATCCACTGTCCTCTGGCAGCAGCAGCAGCAAAAAAAAAAAAAAAAAAAAAAAAAGTCACTGAGTTACTGGCCTCAGGAATGCTGGTCTGATAGGGGAACGTTTACTCTCTCATTAATTTGAAGACGCTTTTAAAAATAGTGATGTGGAAGTTACCTATTAGTTAATAAAGGAATCAACCTTATCCTTTGCTTCACTCATTAGAACTCCATTTGGTGGAAAACTTTGTCCTGTGAAGCTTGAGCTCTGATGAAAAGTCTCCAAGGCACTTACTTTCATATCTCAAGTTATCTGGGTAAAGTTTGAAGTGCGGTTTGGTATTAGATTAGTGGTAAAAATATCCCTTATCTGCAAGCTTGTATGCTGTTTGCATTCCCATTATAATTGTCCTTGTCAGAGGTCTGTTCCTACCCTTTCTAGAGTAGCCCCACAGACATGTGGGAACTCAAGACAGTCCCTAAATCCTTCCTCTGTTCTTCTCTTTCTCCCTTTCCCTCTCCCTCCCTCCCTTTCTTCCTTTTCACCAGCGCTTTCCACTTATTGTTTTTTATCCTTCCTACAGGGCCACACAAAATAAATCCACTCCGTCCTCGGACTTATTGTCCTACAACTAACTGGAGGCAATTATTATCTTTATTCACATCCCTCCATCTAAGATTGAAGAATCACTCTATATTAAAGGGTATAGGATCCTTCAAGCTTTCTTTAGAAACTAGTATTAGCCAATGTTTATTGAGCACCTACTATGTGCCAGGCAGGATACCTACACCATTTCTAATCCTTACAACCTTGCTAGATGAATTAATGATAGCCAGTACTCACACAGTCTTTACCATCAACTCATGTAAGATATGGTAAACTAAGTAAAGCTCTTACAATAGTGGCTAACACACAGTAACATTCAATTAACTGTTTTTATATCTTCTTGTACTTCTGCAAGCATCTGGAGAATTTTTAACTCCATCACGGTATTCTACATTTATCCTTTTTTTTTTTTTTTTTTTTTTAAATTTCAACGTGATAGAATTAACCTGAGGAAAACTTTTGGCTGCTTTTATTAGTTTACTATTTCTCCTGGCTTTGTATTAACCACTTATTTTGGTCCTTAAAGTCACTCAAACGAATGATAAAAGATCAAGGATGGAGGCCTGCAGTTTTGAAAAACTTCAGTTTATTCTGGGCCAGGCCTTCCTTGCACAGTTCTCTGAGTTCTGTTTCTTCTGTGGAAGAAACACTATCCTGCACAGGGGGAATGGCACCTGAAAGTGGAGTTTCAGCTCTAACAGGAGAACACTAAAAACATCGCTCTGGCGTGCTTTCCATGTATTAAAATTCATCTTGAAAAAAACCCTGCCATTTTTCGCAGCTCAGTTACAGGGAAGGAGAAAGAGCAGACGGCCGCGGCGATCAGGGGTGGGGTGGCTGGGTCAGCTGCCATTCCAGCCCGGGAACAGGTACCGGTCGGCATGTGCTGTTTGGGGAACACCACTTAGGGAACGGGCATTAGAATTCTACCACTGGCCATGTAGGGTACTGCATTTTAGCTCAGCATTGCTTTCTGACCTCCACATCAGCTGGGATTTTTGACCATTTCTCTTCGGCTGACACTTCTTTGAACTGGGAAGGACTTGTGGAACTAGTCTAGGTGGTTAGAGAAGCCTCAGCAGTGGGACAGCTGTGCCTGCTGATCTGGGATGCTCCCCCTTTGGGGAAGGAAGTGCTTTGGAGTATAGAGTGCTTGGTCTGATTAGGGGACGTGAGAAGGAGCCTGCGGGAAGGAGATCTAGGATTTTATTTTCTGTGTGCTACACCCAATCTCAAGAGGTACTGGGAGCTGTTCTTGCCCTGAAGATGACTGTATCAGCTCCCCAACTCCTTCTTTTCTATTTTTCCACGTATAACTTCAGCCTGACTCAGAGAGGGTTAAGCTGCCTTCCAAAGCACACAGGGTCACTCCTATTCACAAAATGTCAAGGCCAGAAGCAGAGCTGAAAATATATTCAGTGTAGGTTTTAGTAAAATATATTTACATGGTTCACTGTCACTTCCATGGGTAATGTTGCTGCTAGCCATTCCAGTGTAGGAAATGGAATGGCTTCAAAGAACATTCCTACCAACCTCCATGCTGACTCACAAGTCATTCTCCACCCAATAGTGCAGGGCCAACTGGGTCATTACACACCAGAAGGCTTGAGGGCTTTAAGAGGGACATGTCCAAAAGACAGGGTTTCTAGAATATTAAATAGCTTACAAACTCATGCCCACACAAAAAAAAGTGATCACATTCTTATCATGAGATGTGTATGTTCCACAGAGACCAGTACCAGTGGCAGCATGTTGTGGAGGAAAAACAAGGTTTAAAATATTAGGAGCCAGAAGCTAGTCTATGAAAAAATTTTCTGAATCTGATAAATCATAAATAGAAAAAAATCTGATAATAGAGCTTTTCTCAAATTTGACAGCATCCTAAATATTGACATGACATTATCAAATATGAGTTGTGAAGCTAAAATAAGTTCTGCAGGGATTTCGCTGGTGGTCCAGTGGTCAAGACTCCCAATGCAGGGGGCCCAACTTCGATGCCTGGTCAGGAAACTAGATCCCACAGGCCGCAACAAAGATCTCACACGCGGCCAGGAAGATCCTGCTTGCCGCAACTAAGACATGGTGCAGCCAAATAAATAAATAAATAAACGTTAAAAAAAAAGCTCTGCAATATATCAATAGTAAGAGCAAAAAGCTTCAAACACTGAATTATCTTTTTATTTTCTTTATAGGCAATATTAGAAAATAATTGTCAAATGAAGATGTGATGAAAGACTATACAGCCAAAAATGTTCTAAACAAGTAAATATTATAGAGGAGCGCCAGGCAGTTAATCAACAGAAATACTGTTGCTTTTTGGATCTTGTGATTTTGTGACATATCAACTTTTCAAAATTTGTAATTGCTTGTAATTTATTTTTTCATTCCAAATAAATATTCATTTCCATACCAGCTTTTTCTGTCTTTACTGATCTTTTGGTTACATGTCCACAATCTGACAACAGATACTGTGTCCTGCTTCCGATTTTTGAGTGATACTCTGTTTGGCCCAGATCATAGTCAATAAATGTTAATCTAGTGAATAAAAGCATAGATCATTGCAATCTGGAGGGTTAGGTGGACCCGAAAGAGAGTGGACTAATCTTGGGTTTGGAGGATGGATAGAATTTGAAGAGCTGAGCGGGGTAGTGGCATTAGCAAAGATGTAAAGATAGGAAGACCATGGAAAGATCAGAGAATAACAAATAGTTAGGATTAAGCTCAAAAAACTTGTAACTCTGTGAGGTGATGGAGATGTTAACTAACCTTATTGTGGTAATCATTTTGCAATACGTGCTTATATAAAATCACTATGTTATGCATTTTAAACCTACGCAGTGTTATTTGTCAATTATATCTCAGTAAAGCTGGGGGAAAAAAGATTGGCTCAACTGAAAGGCTTGTGTTGAATAAGGGGTGAGCAAAAAGGAAGGAAGTTTTAGGCTACATTAAGGTAGAGGGATCTAGAATGTCAGACTAAGGGAATTTAATTGTACTGTACAGTCAAGGGACAGTGTATTGGACATCTGTTGCCTCTGCTTACAGATAAGCTCATCCCCTCATCTTGTAATAGCACCTTTATTTTCTAAGGAACCACGCTTTTCCCACTCTTACTCTATGTAGGTTGGATGGGTTGACATCACCCCAGGCTCTAGGGATGGGTCCATGACCCAGGTCTTGCATATCAGAGTCTTTCTCTATTGAGAAAGAGTCCTCTCTTTCTGCTAATGATGCTACATTTCTTCAGTATAAGTCTGCAGGTAGTGGTAGCTGTTTTGTCACCCTTAGGAAGAGTGTGCCTGAGAGTGAAGCCAACCCATAGCCAAGAGATGAAGGGAGAGAGACTCTCAGTGATGTCACTTGATACCTAGACACTTGGGCAACCATGCTTGAAGGCAGATACCCTTGGCCTTTTCAGTAAGGTGTGAACCAATACATTTCTTTTTTAATTTGTCAGTAGGAACTGGGTTCTTTTATCTGCAACAGGAAGACTTCTGATTATTACAGGCAAGAGAAGTTTGTGAGCAGGGTTTTATGAAGATTAATCTAATGGCAAACAAGGTAGAGAAATCAAGATGCTGGTAGTGGAAATAGGAAGGAAAGAAAAGTACAGAGGAAGAATTCAGAGGGCTTGTTGACTAGAACAGGAAGAGGAAGCAAAAATGACTGGGATTTGGAGACTAAGTGAAATGATGGAACCACTGAATCAGCAAGTATACCATGCTCCCCCTACTCCCTCAGGAG